GCAGGACCCTGGGAAAAACGGGAATTGCGCGGACAGGAGAAAATCCCGGAATTTTCCGGCCTTGTGCTGCCGGAAGATTGTTGGGAGAGGAAGCGCTTCCAGGCGCTGCCCAGGAATTCCGGGAGGTGACGCGGGACCAGCTCAGCCTGTTGGAAGCGATCGTGCCGGGATCTTGATCCGATAAAAGCTGCGGAAAAGCCACGGAGATGAGCCCGGGATGACCAAAGGTGACGAAATTCCCGTCTGGGTTGGACACGGCGTCTCCAGGGCGGGAAATCTGCCTCCCCTCACGGCTCCGGAATCCCGGTGGAGACTGGGGGGATTGGGATTGGATTTCTGAGGGTTTTCCCACCCCATAAATGTTTTGTTTCGTCTTCAGCTGGAATAATCCTCAGGGAATGCTCTGCGCATGCGGAATTCCCTTTATTTCGCATCTGAAACGCCTTTTAAAATTCCCGGTCTGGAATTCCGTGGGGCCGGTTCCCCAAATCCCATTTGGGTGGGAAAAATCTCGGCCATTCTTAAAAATCCCCGGAGATGAACTCGGTTCCCTGCTCCGTCACATTTGGATTTTCCATCTCCGTGTAAAATGAGATTTCACCAGAGCATTCCAGGATTTTTGGGGTTGGAAAATCCCTCCAACACCACTGAGTCCAACTTTGGATGGATCAACACCTTCCCAGAGCCCTGGGGAGTGTCCAGGAATTCCTTGGAAAAGCTCCCTGGGCAGCCCCTGACCGCCCTTTCCGGGAGGAAATTCCCGGAATTTCCAGGAAATCCCTCCTGGTGATTCCAAACCGAAATGAAAGTTGAAGGAAAGTTCTTCCCAGGAAAACCCATCCCTGCTTTTCACAATCCCAGTAAAACCACTTCAGAGGGTTCGCTGATAAAGAACAGAGGGGAGAAGCAGAAATGATCCTGAATTCCCAATAAATCCCAGGAATTCCAGACCTCAGAGCGGGTTTTAGCTGTGGAACAACCCCGGGATGGGTTGGGATGGGAATTCCCAATAAATCCCAAGAATTCCAAACCTCAGAGCGGGTTTTAGCTGTGGAACAACCCTGGGATGGGAATTCCCAATAAATCCCAGGAATTCCAGAACTCAGAGCGGGTTTTAACTGTGGAACAACCCCGGGATGGGTTGGGATGGGAATTCCCAATAAATCCCAGGAATTCCAGAACTCAGAGTGGGCTTTAGCTGTGGAACAACCCCGGGATGGGAATTCCCAATAAATCCCAGGAATTCCAAATCTCAGAGCGGGTTTTAGCTGTGGAACAACCCCGGGATGGGAATTCCCAATAAATCCCAGGAATTCCAGACCTCAGAGCGGGTTTTAGCTGTGGAACAACCCCGGGATGGGTTGGGATGGGAATTCCCAATAAATCTCAGGAATTCCAGAACTCAGAGCGGGCTTTAGCTGTGGAACAACCCCGGGATGGGAATTCCCAATAAATCCCTGGAATTCCAAACCTCAGAGCGGGATTTAGCTGTGGAACAACCCCGGGATGGGAATTCCCAATAAATCCCTGGAATTCCAAACCTCAGAGCGGGATTTAGCTGTGGAACAACCCCGGGATGGGTTGGGATGGGAATTCCCAATAAATCCCATGAATTCCAGACCTCAGAGTGGGTTTTAGCTATGGAACAACCACGGGATGGGAATTCCCAATAAATCCCAGGAATTCCAGACCTCAGAGCGGGTTTTAACTATGGAACAACCCCGGGATGGGTTGGGATGGGAATTCCCAATAAATCCCAAGAATTCCAAACCTCAGAGCGGGTTTTAGCTGTGGAACAACCCTGGGATGGGAATTCCCAATAAATCCCAGGAATTCCAGAACTCAGAGCGGGTTTTAACTGTGGAACAACCCCGGGATGGGTTGGGATGGGAATTCCCAATAAATCCCAGGAATTCCAGAACTCAGAGCAGGTTTTAGCTGTGGAACAACCCCGGGATGGGTTGGGATGGGAATTCCCAATAAATCCCAAGAATTCCAAATCTCAGAGCGGGTTTTAGCTGTGGAACAACCCCGGGATGGGAATTCCCAATAAATCTCAGGAATTCCAGACCTCAGAGCGGGTTTTAGCTGTGGAACAACCCCAGGATGGGAATTCCCAATAAATCCCAGGAATTCCAGAACTCAGAGCAGGTTTTAGCTGTGGAACAACCCCGGGATGGGAATTCCCAATAAAACCCTGGAATTCCAGAACTCAGAGCAGGTTTTAGCTGTGGAACAACCCTGGGATGGGAATTCCCAATAAATCC